AATTTTCTTACTAGCAGTTTTTTAAATTTTTTGAGGTAACATCTCCTAATTATTATACACCAGAAATACAGTGTCGTCAACCATCTGTAAAAACACTTACACAGTCCTCAACACCAACACGTGCAGCTGTTCTGAAAGGTAATCGGAAACTTGAAAAATAATTGAATACCAATATATTTTACATTATAGGTTCCTCTGTAGCTAATTGTTCACAAAAGAAACAAAAATATGTAGTTGAAGAAGATGTATCAACAGATTCTGATATTCTTGGTGCTATTAATAAAATACTCTTCGACTTGAATCATTAGAAAATAATGTAAAAGAATTACGAGGTCAACAAAACTCAATAATAAAGGTATTAGATAAAATATATGAAGCACAATTAACAATATTAAGTCGTAAGAAACTGGTTAGTTTTTTTTGACAATAGCTTGTGTTTTATCATTTGTTTATTATTTTATGAAAGACTATGGTAATAACTCCTCTTGCTGATATTCCATCAATGTGATACTTGTGATATTTATTTTTACGTGTTTAATTTTGTATCTTTTTGGTTATTTAATGAAATTAATTTACTTGATTAAGAACCATCTGTTGAACCCCAACTACTCTTCTCGGTTCGTCAATTCGTCAACTTTATACTCATGAAGAAATAACAAAATGGTGTTGCATTTGATTGATCGTATGGAGAAAATAACAGGCATGAACAGCAAAAGATTGCTTCAGAAAATTAAACTTTTATTTTACTATTTCTAGGATTAATTAAAGAAACATATTTCAAGGAGCATTTGATCAAACTCGATGTTTTCTGGAAATGACAAGCGAAAAAAAACAATTGGTGGTCAACGACGTTCACTTTGCAATCGAAATGAACAAAAAGAGTAGGTCTCCTGTATCATTTTTATTATATAATTATTTGTTCTATTCTATTTCAGAATGAGACAATTGATTCAACAGCCGAACAATTAATTATTTTCGATAGATCAAAAACATTTACTTGAGAGTGTGGGTGTGTGTGTGGCTGTGGGTGTGATTTAGGACAAGATGAAACCACACCCACACCCACGTCCATATCCACATTCACCCACATCCACACCCACACTCAAAATGATGATAATCATAGTGAAACTGAGAGATGTTACACTTTCAAATTAGAAAGGAGGGAAATTTTTAAGTCAACACAAAATATTTAATAAAATTTTGCTTATTGACTTTCACCAGACAATACGATCTCTAAGTCAAGGGGGAAACAGCGGACTTCAAGACTTCAAAAGACTTCAACCGCAGTGACTTCATATTTTCACAAGACTTCAAAAGACTTCTGAAGACTTCATAGAACTCCAAATGACTTCACAAGACTTCAGAAGACTTCGTATGACTTCATGGGACTTCAAAAGACTTCGTTAGACTTCACAGACTTCACGGACTTCATGATGCCTCACGGACTTCATGAGACTTCAGTGACTTGGTAGGACTTCTTGAGACTTTATAAGACTTCAAGAGACTTCATAAGACTTCATAAGACTTCATAAAGCTTCACAAGACTTCATAAAACTTCACAAGACTTCACAAGGCTTCACAAAACTTCACAAAACTTCACAAGACTTCGCAAGACTTCACAGGACTTCAAGATGTCGATTCTATACGTATCAAAAAACCTTATAGAAATTACATGAAACCTGTATGACATACAAAAAACAAAACTTATCATATAAAGATTACAAAAGTGTTTCTTGTTTCTGAGAACTGTTTCTCGTAGTATATTCATATCTAGAATAAAGATGTGACAATGACACAAAGCGTTGATGAAATTAAAACAGAGAAAGTAAACTTTACTGGTATGCGTATATTTGATTCGATTAATCCAGCATTGAAAACCTCCTATTTCCAGGTGCAAATAAATAACAAGACTAAATTTACACACAAGCAAACGACTTGTTGGTTATTGATCGACAAAACTAGCCGTTTACCGGCTGATAGATTATCACGAGTGATAGAAATAAACAGAAAGGAATAAAATTCTTCATCAGATTGACATCGAATAGATGGATCATTTCTTATAAAAATAAACCACTTCATTCAAAAAGCATTCAGTTATTAACTATCATGTTTTCTAAGATCCAACAAACTTGAATTTTTTTCCAGCACCTTGACAAACAAACAAAAAGTTCACCTTTCTGCTAAAATAAGACTGACGAAAACAAGCCAATTTCATTGCTTTCTTATGAATTTTCATGCACTAAATGTACAAGGGGGAACCAGCAGAGACTTCAGCCGTGAAGTCTCATGAAGTCTTGTAAGTCTTTTGAAGTCTTCTGAAGTCTCTTGAAGTCTTTTGAAGTCTTATGAATTATCATAAAGTCTCATAAAGTCTCTGAAGTCTTTGAAGTCTCTTGAAATCTCATGAAGTCTCATGAAGTCTCATGAAGTCTCATGAAGTCTCTTGAAGTCACTGGAAGTCTCTTGAAGTCTCTTGAAGTCTCTTGAAGTCTCATGAAATCTAATGAAGTCTCATGAATTCTTTTGAAAGTTTTGAAATACATTTAGTGCATGAAAACTCATAAGAAACCAATGAAATTGTCTTGTTTTCGACGATTTTATTTTAGCAGAAAGGTGAACTATTTATTGTTTTTTTTTCAATGTGCTGGAAAAAATTCAAGCTTGTTTGGTCTTAGTAAACCTAATAGTTAATAACTGAATCTTTTTGAATGAAGTGTTTTATTTTTATGAGAAATGTTTTATCTATCCAAATCAATCTGATGAAGAATTTTAATCCTTTTTGTTTGTTTCTATCACTCGTGATAATCAATCAGCCGATAAACGGCTAGCTTTGTCAGTTAATAACCAACAAGCCGTTTGCTTGTGTATAAATTTAGTCTTGTTATTTATTTGCACTTGAAAATAGGAGTTTTTCATTGCTGGATTGATCGAATCAAATATACGCATACCAGTAAAATTTATTTTCTCAGTTTTAATTTCATCAACACTTTGTGTCGTTGCCGCATCTTTATCTTCTTCATCCACATTGATTAGATCACTATTAAATTCATTACTTTCCATTGTTTCATCATCATAATCAGATTCAGAATCTGATGAAGAATCTGCATCCGTTGCCGAATAAGTATCCGAATTAATGTTGAATCTAATACTATCAAATATATTTTTACTTAAACTATTAAGTTCACAAGCATTGCATTTCTTTAATGAAGGTAATATATTCAAATTACTAACTAGTTCTTTTGCACGATTAAATGCAGCTAAAATAATATTTTCACCATTATTTAATCCTCGTTGCTAAGGGCTGTAATGGGGGAGGGGGGGTAGGGGGTATGTCTGTAATGTTCTCTTTCTCCGTTGCTAAGTGTCTATAATGGGGTGGGGGGAGAGAGAGCCATCAAACCTCGAACTGAAAACGTACATTCACTATTTTCTTCGAAAATATACGTGAGTTCCACAAAACAGACTTTTGGGAGCAATCAATTTTCAATATCATTCCTGTTCGTGGTTCTCGGAAGACACTAGTTACTCTGTTATGAATAAGGGTGTCAATTTATATTTACTTTCCATTTAATTTACGCGTAAATTAAATGATAAATAATTTATATTTATTATAAAGTAAACGGTAAATGACACCCCTACTATTTGATAAGTTTTGTTTTTTTGCATGTTATAGAGGTTTCATGTAATTTCTATAAGATTTTTTGATACGCATGGAATCTGCCTCTTGAAGTCCTATGAAGTCTTGTGAAGTCTGGTGAAGTCTTCTGAAGTCTTGTGAAGTTTTGTGAAGTCTTGTGAAGTCTTGTGAAGTTTTATAAAGTCTTGTGAAGTCTTATGAAGTCTGATGAAGTCTTATAAAGTCTCAAGAAGTCCTACAAAGTCTCTGAAGTCTCATGAAATCCGTGAAGTCTCACGAAGTCTGTGAAGTCTAACGAAGTCTTTCAAAGTTTTTTGAAGTCCCATGAAGTCCCATGAAGTCATACGAAGTCTTATGAAGTCTTGCGAAGTCATTTGAAGTCCTATGAAGTTTTCAGAAGTCTTTAGAAGTCTTTCGAAGTCTTGTGAAAAGATGAAGTCACAGCGAGTGAAGTCTGTTGAAGTCTTGAAGTCTTGAAGTCCGCTGTTTCCCCCTTGTAAATGTATTTCAAAACTTCCAGAAAAATTCATGAGACTTCATTAGACTTCAAGAGACTTCATGAGACTTCATTAGACTTCATGAGATTTCATGAGACTTCATTAGACTTCAAGAGACTTCAAGAGACTTCATGAGACTTCAGAAGACTTCAGAAGACTTCAGAAGACTTTATGAGACTTTAGAGACTTCAAGAGACTTTATGAGAATTCATGAGAATTCATAAGACTTCAAAGAGACTTCAGAAGACTTCAAAAGACTTTCAAGAATTCATGAGAATTCATAAGACTTCAAAGTGACTTCAGAAGACTTCAAAAGACTTTCAAAACTTCATGGGACTTCACGACTGAAGTCTCTGCTGTTTCCTCCTTGCTCTAAGTTTAATTTAATGGCATACATCTCTCTCTAATTATGTTATATTGTGTACATATCTTTAAATAACATAAAATTTGACGCCCTCTATTTTTTGTTCATTGGTATCCATTGTCATTAGCAATAAATATTCGGTACGTTACGGAAAAGTGAAATAATTGATTTTTTTTCTTATCTCTCTTTTGTTCTTGTAGTAAGATTTACTTTTAAAGTCATACATTAAAAGTGGTAAGGAGACTATCGATTTTAAGTTTTTCTTATTACAAATCAAAATATTTTTTAATTATGCTTTGCTCATGATGAATTTTTTAGATCGTCAATTTTATCGTACAGAGTCCTGGATGATTTCGATCTTGATCTCATTGATGAAGTTTGTTCATCTTTTTGTACACCATGTACAAGTCAAATTACAAAAAGTATAAATGAATCATTATTATTATCAACTCGTAAACGTACATCAACATTGTGTCCTCTTGATAGTTCTAAAATTAAGAAAATGTGTTTATTGATGGATGTATCCAACAGATCAATTGTTGATGAATATGATGAAATCAGTACACTTGACGAATCAGCTCTTCAAATGCTTGTAACATCAGAAAACATAATTATTTTAATTTTATGATAGATTTCTTTGTTTTTTGTTAAAATTTTTTTAGTGTGAAGAATGGGAACCGAAATCACAATTTCCAACTTTACTGACTCGAGTTGCTGGTCTACTTGAAAAATATCGAAACATTCAATCATTTCATAGTAAGACAATTTCGAAACTATGAGTTTTATAAATTATTAATCGACTCTATACAGCTTGGCAGAAGAAATATCTCGATTTACCAACTCGTCGAAAAAATCAAAATCTTATTTATAAACTTCCAACAAGTGGTGGCAAAGTTTGGTCAAATGTGTAGCTTTTTCTTTTATATCGAATACATCAAATTTTTCTTTTAGGCATTAGTTGCTGAAATAATGATGCTTAATTGTTTACTTTATCGACATCTTGATGTTATTTTTATTTTACCATTTGTTGCAGTTGTTCAAGAGAAAGTAATATTGTTTTTTTATTGTCATTATGTATTATTTTTACTATGAACATCTTAGGTTTGAAGTCTTCAACCATTTGCTGATAAACTTGGTAAATCAGAAATACAACAAATAAAAGATTCATCGTATTCATTAAATATACATATTTCTATTAGGTTTTCATCTTGAAGAATAAGCAGCAAGTAAAGGATGTTATCCACCAATAAAACGTCGAATGAAAACATCACTTTATATTGGTACAATTGAAAAAGCTAATTCATTAATTAATCCTTTAATTGAAAATCATCATATGGCTGACTTAGGCATTGTTGTTGTTGATGACGTACACGCTTAAATTCCAGTCAAGAATGCATATCAATGAAATATTTGTACAGGTGTGGGTGTGGATCACACTCTGTTCTGCATGCACATTCACAAACACACCAACACACCCATGCTATCAGACTTCGGAGTTTTGCAAAATTGTAGGCATCATATCTCTTGTAATCCTAGGATGGGGGGAACTGATATTTTAATCACTGATAGTGTTCATTGAGCCTTTCTCAAGAAAAGTTTTGGAGAAATTCTGACGTGTAGTTATGGAGAAAATCAAGGTCCAACATGAGGTATTCAAAGACCACCGGACCCTTGATATCTACATATCTCCAATTTAGAATACTTTTGAGAGATCAGGTATGATTCATTTAACTGATCACAGTATTTGCTTCATATTGAATCTAATGTGTAGAAATTTCCAGTTTACTATATGGATTTTATCTATTTTTTCAAACATTCCCAAACTATGAGTTGTAGAGATATAGCTCTGAAAATTATTGTGTAGAGACAACTTTTTATGCTCTATCCAATGATCAAATCAAAACTTCCAAAGAGCGTTGCTGAAAAATAAAACAGACCTATTCAGGGGAGCCAATGTTAGACAAAATCGACTTTTGAGCCTGTCATACCGAAGTTAGCGCATTATTTGAATCAAAACAAAGTATCAACTCCTAGATAACTCGATGAAGGCTACAAAACTAGCATACTTAAATCTTGCTGGCAAAAAGTCGATGTAAAAGTGGACGAATCTGCGTGGAAGTACCCATTGTTTATTAAATTTATAATTGTATTAATACTCATAATACAGTTGAATATAAAATTCTATATGATGAAATAATAATTTTTTTCTCTGTTAGAACGTCTTTCAAAAATTGAAAGATAACAACAAGAACATCAGTAGAACAGGAAACAAACAGATGGAATATAAACAACTAGCATTGTTCATCGTTGTTGTGAATGTTCCTATTGTTGAACTAATCGATGTGAACGTAGACGGTGTCGTCATATTTTCAATCGTACGGAAAATACTAGTAAGATAGACAATAGAACCAGCAGTAGCATGGGGATTTGGATTAATTTTAAGAATGTGACAGGCAATATGATAAATATCTACATTATTAAGTGAATGAATTGATACATTTTTATTGAAAGAAGGACCACGAGCCATAAATATGGCTTGCATAGTTGCTAATGTATTATCCCATCCATGGTTACCTTTTTTGTTATAAACTTTATTTGTTGTTGCCTAAATATTAATTGAAAATAATATTCGATTAAGTTAATTAAAAAATTTACTCGAGATAGAATTTGACCTTCAAAATTTGGTAATACAGTTATTTCCCCAAGTCGATGTCCTGGTTTTGAATAATGAAAACGTTCAGGAATTTCATCACGTCTATATACTGTTACATTAGGTAAATTACTAAGATTATTGTAAACTTTTCTAGTCTGTTATTGTTGAATAATTAATTGATAATAGATATATTGTTAAAATGATGTAGATATGCTTACTAGTCCACGTTTTGGCATTACATTGAATAATGCACCAGAAAGAAGATTTGTTTCAACGGATGTTGGGCTAAGATATTTTTCGAAAAATGGTCGTATTATTCCTGTTACATTGGCCATGCCCTTAAAATCTTGAAATGAATTCGAATTGTTGAATTTTTTCGAAAAATATGTGAAATTATGATGTTTCTAAATTATCTTTTACATACATGATCAGAGAGTATAATAATATTTAAATCATCATTGAGTTCTTTCTTTGTTTTATCCAATAAATATTCTATATCAATATCAAGACGAAGTAACTAATTAGAGAAGAAAAAATCTAAATATATCTATTTTCAGTAAGTTTCTACTTACTGTATCGTGTACTTCTTGGGAATCTGGGCCATATGTATGTCCTTGCTTATCTGGTTCACTTAAAGAGAAAATAATTATTTTCAACAGAATAAAATTTATTTATGAACTATACAAATGGTATAGCATAACGAATTGAACTGATAATTCACGAAAGTAACCTATAGCATTGTCGATTTTTTCACGAAAAGATACATCATCAGTGTACAACCAACTATAGATAAGTGGACGTACGCCATAAAACTCATTATGACATGCTGGCCAGAAAAGAACTGCAGATTTTATTTTCTAAACATTGTAATGCGAAATTCATCGATATCTATGTTAATCTTAAATAAATACTTGTTTGGTTGCAGTAATCCATATAGGTTCTACTTTTGGATCAGACCATTGCCCATCATCACGATTATCTAAAAAGTAAAAGATGAATTAACATTATTTTATATTAGATCAAACAAGTGGAATATATATATATATACTCATTCCAATAGTTAATTTTAATAATCGATCGTAGAATGAATTATGCACAATGCCATGTTCTTCTGGATACATTCCTAAATTTCATACATGAGAGATACTATTAAATAACTCATGTGCATATATCTACTGATAAACCTGTTGCGATAGAAATATGATTAGGATACGTCAATGTAGTAAATGAAGGTCGCATTCCATGTGTTGCTCGAACACCATCATTACGAAATCGATTCAATGCAGGTAAATAGTGTTCATGTAAATAATCATGACGAAATCCTTCGAAATAAGCTATTTTAAACTGTAATCAAATCCTTTTCTTTTATATCCTACCATCAAGTGAAATAATGAGTAGACGTTGACTTTCAGATGATTGTTTCGTAGCATCAGTATATTTAAATAACGGTATTTGAAAGACATAAACTATCAACATGGTGTACAGAAAGTGCATTGTCGTCATAAAGACAAAGCCGATTAGTTTGTGAACAATATAAATATCAAAACTAAGAATGTCAAAAAAAAAGAATAATTACCTCACGTCTCTAATTCTTTCAATTTTAGATTTTTTTTTCTTGAAATAGTATATGTTATATATTAGATAAGATTGTAAATATGCCGTGAAGACATTTGAAAGAGGTATGAGATTATACATTTCTTTTTTCTTTGTGTTATTAAAGGTTAGTCCATAACTGAACCGAGCATATTCACTATACACTGTCACATGAAAAATTTTCATATATCTTCTTCATCATTGGAAATAAAAGATTCTACAAAAAAAAACCTTTGAATCCAAAAGTTTAACTGTCTTAGCTAAGAAAGTTAACATTTTGTATTCATAATTTTGTTTACATGATCTTTCATTGTTAATGATGAAAAATATATATGAGAATTTTTCGTATGACAGTCTATAGTAAATATGCTCGATTCAGTCATGGACTAACCTTTAAGAACATAAGGAAAAAAGAAATGTTTCATCTTATACCTTTCCCAAATCTGTTCACAGCATATTTACAATCTCATTCACCTAATTTTTAATATATACTATTTCAAGAATAAAAAATCTAAAATTGAAAGAATTGCTTGTTTGAGGTTTATTTAACCCTCTATCCATAATAGAGCTTAAAAAGATATGGTGCTGATTACACCTTCATGAAGAATGAAAAGCAATTAAAACAACGCACGAACACAAAGCACATAAAACTATAAGCAAAGACAGCATGAGTCATGTACGACAGCTTCCAGAATCAAAACAGATTGGTATGTTAGCAGAATGTATAGACCATCGATGAACAAGTAGCTTAATACGTCATGAACAGAACTGACTTATATAGATATGGTGCTGTGAGAGGAAAGGCTTGAATATGATTGTAACGTTCTTAATCGATTAATTCTCTGAAATTATCCAAGGTTAAGTGACGTTTATCTAGACGGTTCATATAAGTTGTTCGACCTTCATCTGACATGTGTTATCACCATATCTGCTGTCCTTGCTTAAATCATAACTGTGTATACTTTTAACTAGTTTATTGCGAGCTGTGACGCTGCCGTCACATTTGTCCTAACTCACACTTACTCACCTTATCTTCCTCATAACATGACCTTCCTTTTTTTCAAGGTATCTTCCAGTCCTCTTGATATGTGTTCTCTTCTTCTTAAGACTTCTTTCTTTTCTCCCCATGTTCTTTTTCATCTGTATATAGCTTACTCCCTTGGCTTGTTCCGTCTTATCTTTGGACACTGACTCTGTGTGTTATATATAGATAAACATGTGCTATGTATGTGAAATTTTCAATTCATGATATAAATAGCGTTATAGATAGATATATATACTGATGCTATAAATCAATCATAACAAAGGCCATGTCTACTCATTATTTTACTTGACGGTGGGATATAAAGAAAAGGATTTGATTGTAATTTAAAAGTAACTAGGTCACATCTCGAATTTCTTCAATTGTAGATTTTGTATCCTTGCAATAGTGCTTATTAAGAATGAGATGAATAAAATTGTAAATATGCCATGAAGACACTTGGAAGAGGTATAAGATGAAACATTTCTTTTTTCTTTATGTTTTTAAAGGTCAGTCTATGCCTGAATCGAGCATATTTACTAGAAACTGTCATATGTAAAATTTTGATATACCGTTTTATCATTGAAAATAAAAGACTATATAAAAAAAATAATACGCATCCAAACTTTTAGCTTTCTCAGAATGAGCATTGAATAATTATGAAGGATATATTTGAGATGTGTTAGTAAAGATCCATTTCATTTCTTTTCGTTTCTTCCTATTCTTAGTATATAATTAGTGTATATTACTACTTTCTTCAATTGCTTGTTGAACAGGACGTTTCGGGTTCAATATTAATGTGTGCTAAAACACAACGATGTATTAATCTTGGAATATTTTTATGAGTCTCTCAAAAAACCATATTGAACAACATGTGGGCCGACAATAATTTTCTATGGATTCAATAAAACGAAGAAAGTTCTAATAGAATGCATTCAAAAGAAAGCAATCTAAAAGTATGCATATAGTTAGTACTTGAAACTAGCCAAGAAGATAAAGAAATGGCACCTAAAAGCAGCATATTTCCTAATGATGTTGAAACACAAGAGTTCAAATTATAAAATCATTAAAATTCTATTTCATAGTGAACAGTTAACTCATTAAATACATA